AATTAATACGTGAATAATATGTAATAAAATTGATTGTGTATGAATCCAAAGACATGAATTAATATGTGTACAAATTACACATACAAACGTGAATTTGAATTAATATGCATGCCGATAAAAAGTAGAGAAGAAGAAGCAACCTCGTTATGATGCATATGTATATTGAAATATTTCACATGCTACCAAATTAATTTTGATACACGTGATAAATATTCAGGCCTAAAAAATTATTACATTCACTAAACTTTGAAAAATTAAGCTATCGTGCTGATAACGTGTTACAAAAGTGAAGAAAAGAGAAGAGAACATAGAAAAGCCAATAAACTTGTGTGTGTTTTATTAAGAACCAAAGCCCTATATTTATAAGATAGAATTAGGGATACAACAGTAATAATTTCTAAGACTGCATGGGTATAATCGTCATTTACCTCTAAACCCTAATAAACTTACTTTTTACAACAAGTTTATAGAATTGCACCCTCTATTTTTTCTTTGCCATGCGGTAGATTCTGATTGTCGTGGATAATGAAGCGGTCAGGTATATTCCTAAAAAGTCAGTTGTCATTCAAACAAAGTACCAAAACTGTAATAAGCTTCCCAATTTCCTTAGGGATCTTCCCATATAACTTGTTTAAAGAAAGATCAAGTAGCCGAAGTTAAATTAAATTTCCAAATTCTAGAAGAATGCCTCCTGTTAGGTTGTTCTTTGTAATTTTCTGACTTAGTAGCTGCTTGCTACTACACCATGTGTCAAAGAGTTCACCATAGAATTTGTTCTTACTTAGATCCATTGTTAAGTTCGATTGAGACCCAAATTCTATTGGGAGTTCTATTCGAAATTGGTAGTATGTCTTGAAGAAATCTTGAAGAAGTCAAAGACATATTTGACAATTTTTGGACTCCTATTTTAACTCCAATGCTTTGATATTGATTTTACCTATTGTAATATGACTTCAACTAGTGTTAAACTTTTCATGTTTAATTTTCCTAGTGTGTTAGAGACTCTTGTATTATAAAGATGTGGTGTATTACACCTATTTATTTGATCGATTCACGTATTAATCTAGGGGGATCAAGGTTAATAGAGAGAGACTCACAAATAGAGATATCGAGGGAGAGTCTTGTGAGATCCTACATAACATATTATAACTCCTTACTTTTGATATATTGAATTCTCCATCTCTGCTTGTGGTTTTTCTAGTCTTGGATTTTCGCGTGAGTCTTGTGTTCTTATGTCTGGGTTTATTTTCTTCTTGCCCATTATCTTGTCTTTAACATTCATGACAATTGACTCAATTTCTAACAAGTGGTATAAGAGCAAAATTGGTAATGCTTTATTTCTTACATGTGGAATCAAAGCTAAGGTTCGGTAGTTCATGTGAGAGCCAGCTAGGTTTGTATTAGAGCAAGGTTTGAGCAACTTAGAATGAGGTTCGATTGTTTCAAGACTACAAGTATGAATTTTATATTATTCTTTTGGATTGCAACATTAGATTTTCGTTACGGTAGATGTTTATTAGGACGCAGGAGGAGAAGCAACATCAGGATCGTGTTTTGATAAAGGAGCAGATAAGGTCCCAGTTATATGTTTTGAAAGGTTCAATGATCACGTCTGACGTAGTTGACCCTAAATTGAAGAAAAGCGATATGAGACCTCAAGAGGTGTTCGGTGAGGCTGATTTTTTTGCTTATGGATTGATAAGCGTCAACTTAGATGGAGTCGATTTTTGGCCAGGTTGCTAATAGTGGTAATTCAAGTAAATTTGGTATTGAAGAACCTGATACTAGCTTAGGTGGAGTTAGTTGTGATTTTGTTGGTCGTGGTAATAATTCAAAATAAATTTGATACTTAAGGTAATTCTGTAGATAAATAGTGCTTGGATTCAGTTGGTAAATGCTGAGTTTATCCTAAATTGGCTTTGTAGACGAGATGGAGTAATTTGGGAGTGTTTTGTTTGGAGAAATTTTGTTGGAGTTTAAGAGTTAAGTTTTATTCATTGGAGTGAAATTCGTTTCTAGGTGAAAATTTTTTGAAGCTTTTTTCATTGCAGTGGAATTCGTGTAAAGTTAGAGATTTGTTAGAGTTCAGTAGTGATCCAAATTCTATTGAGAGTTGATAGTATGCCTTGAAGAAGTCAAAGTTGTATTTGGCAATATTTAGACTCCTATCTCAACTCCAATACTCATCTATTGAATTTACCTATTATAATAGGACTTCACCTTGTTTTAGACTTTCATGTTTAATTCTCCTAGTATGTTAGGGATTTTTGTATTATAAATGTGGTGTATTATACATATTTATTTGATCGACTTAGATAGTGATCTAGGGGATTTAGGTTAATAGTGAGACTCTTCAATAGAGATTTAGAGGGAAAGTCTAGTAAGATCCCAAATTACATATTGTAACTCCTTAGTTTTGATATAGTGGATTTTTCACCTTTGTCTATGATTTTACCACATGTAGGGTTTCTCCGTAAATCTTGTGTTCTTGTATTTGTGTTTATTTTCATCTAGCCCATTATCTAATCTTTAATATTTATAACAATTGATTCAATTTCTAACATCCAAGAATGTCAAATTTGGCTAGACCCCAAATTCTTCGGACATATTCTCAGAAAACTGGTTGTGTTCAAATCGCACTTTGAAAGACTGGAGCAGTTTTTTCAGCTTTGAGCGATTGGACCAAAAAATATATTAGAACGCACGGAATCTTTCTAGCACTTCACCAACACATAACTCTGGAAAATGACCAGATAATCAATTTCTTTACAATGTCAGCCTAAGTAGTTTCTTCAATTTTCCCTATTCACTTGTAATCGAGCCAAAAAGTTTGTTGTGAGATAGGGACGAAATATAAATGGCCCAAATGTAAGCTTAGATTAAATTATACAATATAGAGATTTTTACTATGCATATTTAACTCGACATACTATTGGATTGAGCCTAGACGCCGAGTTGAAATGTTCTTTATTAATAAGTACATCTTTGGGTAAATTAACTGAAAGACAATAATTGAATAAAATAATGAAAATTTAGTAACCTTATGGAACCAATTTAAGGCTTAAATGAGTTAATTGGAATAAATAAGGGATCCCAATAGTTAATTGGTATAAATTATACCTAATTAGACGTCATAAAATTCAGGATTCAAGATTTTTGCCTTATTACACTTCCTTGGTAAATTAAGTCGATACTTTCTTCCCTGCCTAATGTCGGACTGTTCACCAATTGGGATTTAAATGTACTAATTTCAATAAGGTATAATATTATGCTTTACTTTGATAAATGATTGACTTTGTGCTTACTGCAATTTTGGTGGAATTATATGAATTGTGGTCTATTGGAAATATTCATACAGACACACATGCTTATCTGTTATATCGTCTAAGTATTCGAAGTTGAATAATTTTATTTCCGCAAAAACAAAAGGGGTTAATTGAACGAAAGTTGTATATTTATTTATTTATATAAAATTTAAAATATGTACAAGGTATGATCAAGACCTAAGTCTGTCTTTTTCACTGGAAATTTGGTTCGAAAAATTTGAGTCTTCAATCACGAGTCATCTCTTTTATACATTGTTCATTGAGCCGGCCTTCTATTTTGTTACTAAACATTGTTCTTAGTTCGATGGTTGCAATTAAGAAATTAATTGAATGTGTTAATTTTAGAAAGAAAAGTATTATCTTGCACCTTTCTTGCTCTCTTTCGTGCCCCATCTCACATCCATTGATAACATCTTAAAAGACTTTTTTTTTTCTCTTAAAAATTCTACCATTTAGCACTTCGTTCAGTTGATAGGGCTCTAGCAGTTGTTTCAACTTCTAAAATTGTATATGAGCTTTAGCACGTTTGTTTAGAGGTAATTATTAATGGCAACCATAATGAAAATTTTATCTTAAAAGAATAAGGATATGGATTGACTTTTAGGATAAATATTGTTGAAATTTTAAATGAATATTAATGACCTAGGATGATTGGCATGTAGACTTCATGGGAGGCTAAGGACATCACCACTTGTCATTCCAAAAGTAAATTGTTAAGTGAGTTGCAAATAATAGAAATGAATGAAAAAGTGAATATATATTGTGATACTTTTACTTCATTGTAATTCATAAGCATGCATCATATGTGTGGGATTTGCTTACTCAGCATTAGACCATTCCACTTATCCCTCCCAATTTTCAGATGATAAAGGCAAGATGATTCGAGACGACAATTTGTGGTGAGACAAAATCAATACTAATATAATTTAAATATTGATTTCATTTTGAAATAAAGTTAAGTTTTAATTAATTTTCTTATATTTCATTAAGTACAAATTATTTTCATAAATAAAGTTATTGATGTTAATCACGTTATAGAAAAATTAAATCTCCCTTTCGCATTTATGATTTTAAGAGAAAACTATATGATAATACTTTCAAATTTAGGCATTTAGATTTGGAGGTGTTGCAACACGTGTCAGCAAGTTAGTGTCCATGTCAACCAGTACAAGATTGATGAAATTTCCAATTTTAGTACGAACTGATCCAAAATGCTGATTGATGCTTAGATTCACATAAGCAGGTTTTGGAGAGATGAGAATGGAAATTTACAGTTGGTGGCATGAATACCTGCATTTGTGTTAAGGGATAAAATTTTCACATTGGTTAAATATCGAAATATTGACCAACTTAAAAATATTTTAGACTACTCCTCTTAATAAGGTTGACATTTTAAGATGGAACCTCAAGTTTTAACAATTTGTGAGCTTCAACTATGAACACTTCCATAGATTCAAGAAACTTCACACCAATTGCAAGGACTAGTAGTTGCTATTGGATGGCTTGAAAAATTGGTGGAATTATGGGGATCAAAGTCCATGAATTGTAGAAATTTTCAAAACTCATTTTCCGTTTCATAGAGCAATTGCTTCAACAGCAAAGGTAGAAGCAAAAGCAAAAGCAAGTCTAGGATAAATAAAAGAGAAAAGTAATGACGATATCACAAACTCGATATCATCTATACGACGTGATGAATCATATATCAAAGGATAGAAATCTTTCCACATCTTAAAACAATTTAAAGCCTTGCTGCAAGGTAGTCTTGCCATATCCACTAGTTTAGTTACAACACAACAATATTCATAGCAAACCTTAAACAATGAAAAGTTTGATGCGTAGTTTTATTGGAACTAGCGAAAATCCATCGAAGGAACAAAAATACATAAAAACAATTGGCATCATTTGCAAACTTTCATAAAATTCATGCTTTTAAGAAATCACTGAGATGGTGGTGGATGCACTAAGCATATCAGAAACAACGTGCATGGTTGGACGAAATTGTGGATTGGAGTGAATGCATTTAGTCGCAAGTTTAACAATGAACATCAAAATCTCCTCTTCTTTGGGGTTGGGATACAGAATGCGCGGATCCAAAAAATCCTTAAACTGTAATTCTCCATGTGATGAAGTTGTAACATTTATGAGACTGTCACCTAGATGATTTCCTTTGATCACTTCGAAAGCCAACACTCCAAAGCTATACACATCACACTTTTCTGTCACTTTCATTGTGTAAGCAAGCTCTGCCAAAGGTCAGTGAACAAATATAATTAAAATCATGTATGAACAATCTGTGAATGAAATATAAGAAAAAAATATTACCTGGTGCAACATAACCATATGTGCCTGCAAGAGCGCTCAAATTTGATGAGTCGCATTTCAAAAACTTAGCAGTACCAAAATCCGAAATATGAGCCTCGTAATCTATATCAAGCAAAATGTTGTTGCTCGATATATCTCGATGAACAATTGGAGGAGAACAACTATGATGCATGTAAGACAAAGCATAAGCCACACCCCGCAAGATATTTACCCTTCTAGGCCAATCCAATATCTTAGCTTCTTCATCTATACTTAGAATTTTGGCCAGACTACCTTTGTCAAAGTATTGATAGACCAAAAATGAGTATTGTGCATTTGAGCAGAAACCATAAAGTTTCACAATGTTCCGGTGCTTGATTCCTGTCAGTGCTCTTATTTCACTTAAGAAAGCTCTACGATTTGCCATTTCCGACAAGGAATGAATTGTTTTCACTGCTACTGTATCTTGTGATGGAAGCTTTGCCTTGTAAACCCTTCCACATCCACCCTCTCCAATGCAAAATGCTGCATCAAATTCGTTGGTGGCCTCTAATATGCCTTTATACATGACCACTCCATCGAAAGATGATATGGAAAGCAAATCATCTTCTGCATCTCTTGAATTCCTCTTTCTGCGTTCGTACATGATCAGGATGCCAACGAGTGCAAATAGAAGTAGAGGTGCCCCAATAAGAGGAATTGCAACTATCAAAATGAGTTTGTGACCTTTCCCTATCTTGTGGTTTTTAATAGGAGGAACTTTGCATGGTTGCAATCCTGCAATATTACCGCACAATCCTTTATTCCCTCGTAGTTTTTCTATAGACACATTCTGAAAGGGCTTGCCATTAGGAATGTGGCCCTCCAACTCATTATAGGATATATCGATGTCCACCGAGCCAGGCAATTTTTGAAAACTCTCAGGAATGAATCCAGAGAGGCGATTGTGCGAGAGGTTTAACATTCCCAAACTTGACAAAAATCCTATTTCATATGGTATTTCTCCAGTAAGTGAATTACTGCTCATATCCAATGCAGCCAAATGAGTTAACTTACCAATCTGAACAGGGATTGTTTGGCTTAAAAAATTGTAGCTCAAATTCAAGTGAAACAACTGCTCAGAATTTGGAAAATTTTTAGGTATTGGACCTGTCAGTCTGTTTCTCGAAAGGTCTAGGTAATTTAAGCTTGAAAATGATCCCAATTCGTGAGGTATATTCCCAGAAAGTCGATTGTCGTTCAGATCAATTTTCAGAAGTAAAACTAACTTCCCAATTTCCTTTGGAATCTCCCCACATAACTGGTTTGAAGAAAGATTGAGTATTTGTATTTGATTTAAATTTCCAAAATCTGGAGGAATGCTCCCTGAAAGGTTGTTCTTCGCTATTTTCAGTGTTTCTAGTCGTTTGCTACTACCCCAATTGTCAGAGAGTTCACCATAAAATTTATTGTCACTTAGATCCATGAACGTCAAATTTGGATAGACACCGAATTCTTTGGACAGATTCCCAGAAAACTTGTTGTGATCAAATCGGGCTCTGGTCAAACTGGAACAAGTTTTCAAGCTTTCAGGGATTGGACCTGAAAGTCTATTGTTACTCAAAGTAAAACGTTTTATTAACCCACCACTGCATAACTCAGGCAAATGACCAGAAAACTGATTTTCATCCATTTCTAGGAAGACAAGTTTCTTCAGTTTTCCTAGTTCACTTGGAATGGGACCGGAAAGTTGGTTCTGACGAAGGAACACATATTCTAAATTGCTCAGGTCACCTAATGAAGCAGGGATGGGTCCAGTCAATTTATTTTCACTCAATTCTAGGTCACTTAGAGATTTCAGATTTCCCAACTCTCTTGGGATGGGACCAGAAAGGTTATTAGCATAGAGGTGCAGAGTGATTAGACCTGTAGCTTCGCCTAAAGAGGCTGGGATCAAACCAGTTAGATTATTATTGGCTAAGCTCAGGATTTCAAGTGACTTTAACTTTCCCAACTCAGGAGGGATTGAACCAGAAAGTTGATTTTCGAAAAGATCAAAAATTTGCAGTTTATTCAAGTTCCCTAGAGTGGGAGGTATGGGGCCCGTCAGCATGTTAGTGTACATGAAAACCTCTACAAGATTGATGAGATTTCCCATTTCAGGGGGCATAAATCCAGAAAGAGAATTATTATAAAGATACAAAAAGGTCAAGTTTCTCAAATTGCCAAAAGAAACGGGAATTGAACCATCAAATTTGTTACTGTACAATGCAAGCTCACTTAGAGACACTAGTTGGCCTATTTCAGAAGGAATCGAGCCATTAAATTGATTTTCAACCAAATGAAGAGTTCGAAGACTAGTTAGTCGGCCTATTTCTGATGGGATGGTTCCTGTAAGCTGATTTTTGGATATATCAAGATAGACGAGTTTTGAGAGTTTACCTATTTGAGGTGGAATGGTGCCAAAAAGTCGGTTGATGAAGAAATCGATAGAAGCAAGATTTGGGAGAGACGAGAACGGAAACTTATAGAGGGTGGCATTAATATTTGCATTTGTGAGGTTCAAGCTGTTGACACTTCCGTCAATGCTGCAAAAAACTCCAAACCAATTGCAAGGACTACCACTTGCTTTTGGATGAGTCCACGAAGTTAGAATGGAATTGTTCTCTTTTTTGAAAGTGGCTTTCCATATCAGTAGAGCATTTGCTTCTGCAAAAGAAGCAGAAGCAGGTTTAAGACAAACAAAGAAGAGAAAAGGTAGGAACAAGAAAAATGTAAAAATGGGGTACTTCAACATGTTTAGTAAACTGGGATTTAGTCTGTGTTTGGATTATTTTAGATGCTATGAAACTGTAATTTATAGATGCAAGTAATGGGGTAGAATTTCAAGTCCACTCCCTAAGTCCATTCTTGCTGGAAGACAGCATTCTATTACCAAAGACTTTTGGAGTGTTAAGAACCTCTGAAGTCATTGTCTGTCTTCAATGAGCAGAGAAAAAAAATGCAAATCCAGGTCTTTATCGGTTATTTTTGTCAAAATTGGCAGCAACTCATTTATTTCGTCTAAAACAATGAAAAAGAAAGTTAGCTACTTCATATTGTTTATAGTTCTCACCATTAGGGTCATTAGATGTTCCTGCAACCTCAAAACGTAACAGAACCTCAGCCAAATAATTATCACCAATTTATTTATTTATTTTTAACTCGAGATTTCTTTGGAGGAGATTGAATTCCAAGTTTGGTCATAATATCATTTTCTACATGACAGGAAAAAGAAAAAGAAGCTGTTTTTGAGCCCCTGTTTGGACTCCATTAAAATGACGGTAGTTTTTTGTAGAGAAAAACTCCGTACATCTATACAGGGCAATCAAACAAGAAGGAAAAAGTTATTTAAAATACCCCGAAAAATCCTTATAAAAAGAAAGCTATCGTACATCCCGTGAAAGTGGCAATCGGCAAGCGAGGGTCACTTGTGGGAAACGGAATAGAGGATGACTGAATCATACTGCAATTTCATCCCTACAAGAGGCAATCAAACAGGAAATGAACAAAGCACTTCAACAGTTACCAAACCATTCATCAAAACCAGCAGCATCAGTTTCTATATCTACGAGCAAGAAGAGCTATCACTTCCCAGCTACAGCCACGACCTCATGTGCTGTAACATAATGCAACCGACATCAGCTTATTGCTACGCATCCTATTGCAAAGGCTAGATCACTACTGTTGAATGTTAACAAATCATCAAATATAAATCAAGTCTCATTTCCTTTGTATTTTAATCGGAGATCTAAATAGCAATTTAATCAAGTAAAAGATGGATTTTTCTTCCTAACCAATTAAGTACACGTGTGATTGGACTATTTTAAATAATGGAACGTTTTCTTCTCTTTTTAAAAGGCGCAATTTTTAAATCAACGTACGTTTATTACAATTTACCATATTCGCGAATGACAGCTGAACCTTGTGCATTTACCTTTGGTCTCTTGGAATGAAAAACGTAAACAAATTTTCCATATTGAATATGGAAACAAGTCATCAGCAGTTGTACCTAAAAATAAGCCAACAAAAACCAAATAAAAAATTAAACGTCTCCTTCAATTAGCAACAAAAATTCACACAATGGGTGAAATAAGGGTAAAGGGGAGATGTACTTACGGAAAAACATGTCTCCTTCAATTACTGTTTTGGACTTTTGGCCATTGCAGGAAACCATGTTCAGACTATAAAATGAAGGAAATAACTGCCAGTGGCATAGTCAGATCCAAGGGAGAAAATGGAGCATCAGAATCTGAGGATACTGAGCAGAACTCGGCGAACAAACAGGATTATGAACGTACCAGGTATTTGTTTAATATTCTCCGGTTAACCTTAATTTTATTATACAATTCCATATTATGAGTTTGGAACATTTATTACCTACCTTATGATGGGTTGAATTGTTATTACTTATTAGCAAGCATTCGCGGGAATCAGTCACAATTCTTTTGGTGAATAAGAAATAGTTTCTCCCAAGAAGCCAACTAGTCTGACTAAGTGGCAAAGCAGCGGGAGTTAAGTGGAAATCTGGAAAGTGAGTCTGAGGCAATGTTGAAGAAACAAATTTCCGACAGCAAGAGGAAGGAGCTCGGTGGACATGATATTTTTGCCCTACGACCTGAAATTCAATCACTCACCTTGTCTGCTTGCGCTTTAGATTCCCTGACTTTTAATAAACAATTCTTATTTCTTCTTAACATAGATTAGGTCGAAAATATATTGAATGTTAAAATTCTAATAAAAAAAAAAAATTGTTTATTTTTTTTATTTTTTATTTTTTTTAAACTTGCGGAGCTCCCTTGTTTTTGTAAATAATTTTAAAACTTCAAAAATAAGTTAGAAATTTATCGGAGGAAAAATAGTACAACAAACAACTTTTAAATAAAATAATTTTTGAAATCAGAATTTACATTTCAGTATTAAAAAATTCACACAATGGGTGAAATAAGGGTAAAGGGGAGATGTACTTACGGAAAAACATGTCTCCTTCAATTACTGTTTTGGGCTTTTGGCCATTGCAGGAAACCATGTTCAGACTATAAAATGAAGGAAATAACTGCCAGTGGCATATTCAGATCCAAGGGAGAAAATGGAGCATCAGAAGCTGAGGATACTGAGCAGAACTCGGCGAACAAACAGGATTATGAACGTACCAGGTATTTGTTTAATGTTCTCCGGTTAACCTTAATTTTATTATACAATTCTATATTATGAGTTTGGAAGATTTATTACCTACCTTATGATGGGTTGAATTGTTATTACTTATTAGCAAGCATTCGCGGGAATCAGTCACAATTCTTTTGGTGAAGAAGAAACAGTTTTTCCCGAGAAGCCAACTAGTCTGACTAAGTGGCAAAGCAGCGGGAGTTAAGTGGAAATCCGGAAAGTGAGTCTGAGGCAATGTTGAAGAAACAAATTTCCGATGGCAAGAGGAAGGAGCTCGGTGGACATGATATTTTTGCCCCACGACCTGAAATTCAATCACTCACCTTGTCTGCCTGCGCTTTAGATTCCCTGACTTTTAATAAACAATTCTTATTCCTTCTTAACATAGATTAGGTCGAAAATATATTGACTGTTAAAATTCTAATAAAAAAAAAAAAATTTGTTTATTTTGTTTATTTTTTATTTTTTTTAAACTTGCGGAGCTCCCTTGTTTTTGTAAATAATTTTAAAACTTCAAAAATAAGTTACAAATTTATCGGAGGAAAAATAGTACAACAAACAACTTTTAAATAAAATAATTTTTGAAATCAGAATTTACATTTCAGTATTAAATATTTTCAAAATAAATATTTTTAGAAATTTTTCAGACATTAAATTTCATTACAAATTTAAACTTCAGGGTTAAATATTTTTGAAATAAATGTAGGTTAGGTAGACATTAAAAGAAAACGGAAAGTGAAATAGAAAAAGAGAGAACCATAAATGCGGTTCTCTAAATTTAAAATGTTGAAAATGGAAAATAGAGAACCACACATGCGGTTTCTCTTTGATATTTTTGCATTAGAAGAAAATGGAAAAGAAAGAACCACACATGCAAATCTCTATCGTATTTTTCAATTAAAGAAAATGGAGAAGAAAGAACCACACATGCGAATCTCCGTCGTATTTTTCAATTAAAAGAAAATGAAAGTAAAATAAAATTTTTATTACCTGTGACGCTCCCTTGTTTTTATAAATAAATTAAATACTTTGGAAATAAATTATTAGAAATTTATCGAACCAGAAAGTTTGTTGCGAGGTAGGGACGAAAAATATAAATGGCTCAATTCACCTAAGGAAGTTGGGATGGGACCTGGGAGATTATTTCTCCTCAAGTTTAGTCCCTAACTCTAAAGAAATTGAAACAGAAACTTTATTATCAAAGATGCTTAGAATAATTGCATGCGTTGCTTCTCCTAACGAAGCTGGAATTGGATCTATAAGATTATTTGTCCCTAAACTTAGGCTCTGAAGTGATTTTAGCTTTTTTCTAGCTCAGAGGGAATTGAACCATAAAGTTGATTTTTGAAAAGGTGCAAAACTTGAAGCTGATTCAAGTTTCAGACAGTCGGGGATATGGCAGCTATAACGCAACATACTTGTTTTCGGTGATTATCATATCTACCTGGATTAATTTTATTTATGTTACATTTATTGTTTCATTAGTATAATTATTTTCATCGTGACTTATAATTATCTATTTTATGGAGGAATGTTCTTTGGACGCCCTAAACAACCAACGTGTCTATTAATTTAAGTTTAATAAATTTATAGTTATAGTAAGCTTAGATTAAATTATACAATATATCGTTTTTACCATGCACTTTTAACTTGACTTACTTTTAGATTGAGCCTAGACGCCAAGTTGAAAATTTCTTTATTAATAAGTACATTTGTGGGTAAATTAATTGAAAGATAATAATTGAATAAAATGATGAGAATTTAGTAAGCTAATGGAACCAATTTAAGGCTTAAATAAGTTAATAGGAATAAATAAAAGATCCCAATAGTTAATTGGTACACATTATACCTAATTAGATGTCATTAAATTTAGGAGTCAAGATTTTTGCCTTATTACACTTTCTTGGTAAATTAAGTCGATACTTTCTTCCCTGCCTAATATCGGACTGTTGGCCGCCATTTGGGATTTGAATAGACTGCTTTCAATATGGTATGATTATGATTTACTTTGAATAATGGTTGACTTTGTGTTTACTGCAATTTTGGAGGAATAATATGAGTTGTGGTCTACTGAAAATTTTCATACAGACACGCAAGTGACAGTGGACATATACACACACACCCATATGCTTCATTACGTTGTTCATTACACCGGCCTTCTATTTTGTTACTAAACATTGTTCTTAGTTCGATGGTTGTAAGAAATTAATTGAATGTGTTAATTTTAGAAAGAAAAGTAATACATCTTGCACCTTTCTTGCTCTCTTTCGTCCCCCACCCCCCTCTCACATCCATTGATAACATCTTAAAAGAAAATATTATTTTTTATCTTACAAATTCTACCAGTTAGCACTTTGTTCGGCTTTAGCAGCTGTTTCAACTTCTAAAATTATATATGAGCTTTGGCAAGCTTGTTTACACATAAATTATTGATGGCAACCATAACGAATAATTTACCTTAAAAGAATAAGAATGTAGATTGACTTTTAAGACAAATATTGTTGAAATTTTAAGTGAATATTAATGACAATCAAGTGAATATTAATGACCTAGAATGATTGGCACGTAGACTTTGTGGGAGGCTAAGGACATCTCCACTTGTCATTCTAAAAGTAAATTGCTAAAGATTTCAAGCAAGTAAACCTCCCATTATTTTTATGCATACATCATGTGGTTAAATGTATAAACGTTTGCTTAAATTGTTCTTACATGAACATGATATTTGATCATAACTTTTTATTTCATGAATACTTCTCATGACATATTTATACATATCAGTGCATTCATAAGCATACATGAAGTTTCATGAAATAAAAAGATTTCAAATGTCAATAAGTTGAGGAATACTTCAAAAAGATATGTATTTCGAATGTGTTTATTATGAGGTGTATGTCAATGCCATGAAAGGCGTGAGTGGGAAATGGAGCGTGGGGGATCGACGCACCCAACCAGTGTTCAATGATAATGTTAATACTAATCGTTTTACGGTATTATAGGTAGGACGAATTGAGTTTCAAATGATAATTGCCCACTGCATTCTCATTGACTGGGCAATACATCAAGTGAGCTCACATGTCAATGTTAATGTTTTTAAAGAAATGAATGAGAAAGGGGATACATATTGAGATACTTTCACTTTATAATAATTCATACGCATATCATAAGCATATATCATATGCATGATGTTTGCTTATTGAGCGATAGCCTATTCCACGTTATCCCTCCCCATTTTCAAATGATAAAGACAAGATAATTCGGGACGACAACTTGAGGTGAGACAGACTCAATACTAATATAGCCCTTATTTGAGCCTCATTCTTCTAAAAATTCATTTTTCCAAAACTCATTTCCAACCACACATTTTTCAACAAAATAATATTACATGTAAATTAATCCAAAACTTGTCCTTAATTTTAACCACACATTCTCCATCAATCTACTATTCAAAATGTATTATTTTCCTCCAAATGGGGCTCAAACAAGGTCATAATTTAAATATTGATTTCTTTTTGAAATGAAGTTAAGTTTTAATTAATTGTCTTATATTTCATTAAGTACAAATTATTTTCATAAATAAAGTTATAGATGTCAATAACGTTATAAAAAATTAAATTCGTCCTTTCGCATTTATGATTTTAAGAAAAAATTAAATGATAATACTTCCAAATTTAAGTATCTAGATTTGGAGGAGTTATAGCACCTGTCATCAAGTTAGTGTCCATGTCAACTTGTACAAGATTGATGAAATTTCCCATTTTAACAGGTACCGATCCAAAATGCCGATTGTTGATTAGATTTATATAAACAAGTCTTGGAGAGACGAGAATGGAAATTTACAGTGGGTGGCATAAATACTTGCATTTGTGAGGTTTAGCTATGAACACTTCCATAGATGCAAGAAACTTCATACCAATTGCAAGGATTGGCAGTTGCTTTTGGATGGCTTGAAAAATTGGTGGAATTATGGGGCTCAAAAGTCCATGAATTTAGTAGTGAATTGTAGGGATTTTCAAAACTGGTTTTCCATTTCAGTAGAGCATTTGCTTCAACAGCAGATCCAGAAGCAGGTTTAGGATAAATAAAGGAGATAATTTGTAACGATACTACAAACTCGATATCATCTAAACAACACAATGAATCATATATCAAAGGATAGAAATCTTTCCACATCTTAAAACAATTTAAAGCCAAAATATTATAAGTCAAAGGAAAAGTGTTTCCATTTCATATGACTTTCTGCAAGGTAGTTTTGCCATATCCACTACTTCTAGTACAAAATAACAATATTCATAGTAAACAATAAACAAGGAAAAGTTTGATGCCTAATTTTATTGGAAATAGCAGAAATACATCAAAGGAACAAAAATACATAAAAACAATTGGCATCATTTGCAAACTTTCAAAATTCATGCTTTTAAGAAATCACTGAGATGGTGGTGGATGCACTAAGCATATCAGAAACAACGTCCATGGTTGGACGAAATTGTGGATTAGAGTGAATGCATTTAGTTGCAAGTTTAACAACGAACATCAAAATCTCCTCTTCTTCGAGGTTGGGATAAAGAATGCGCGGATCCAAAAAATCCTTAAACTGTAATTCTCCATGTCTGAGACTGTCACCAGGACGATTTCCTTTGATCACTTCCAAAGCCAACACTCCAAAGCTGTACACATCACACTTTTCTGTCACTTTCATTGTGTAAGCAAGCTCTGCCAAAACATCAGTGAACAAATACAATTAAAATCATGTATGAACAATCCGTGGATGATATATATGAAAAAAGAAAAAATATTACCCGGTGCAACATAACCATATGTGCCTGCAAGAGCGCTCAAATTCGATGAGTCGCATTTCAAAAACTTAGCAGTTCCAAAATCTAAAATATGTGCCTCGTACTCTGTATCAAGCAAAATGTTGTTGCTTGAGATATCTCGATGAACAATTGGAGGAGAACAACTATGATGCATGTAAGACAAAGCATGAGCCACACCCTTCAAAATATTTACCCTTTTCGGCCAATCCAATGTCTTAGCTTCTTCATCTATACTTAGAGTTTTGGCAAGACTACCTCTGTCAAAGTATTGATAGACCAAAAACGAGTGTTGAGCATTTGAGCAGAAACCATAAAGTTTCACAATGTTCCGGTGCTTGATTCCTGTCAGTGCTCTTATTTCGCTTAAAAACGCTCTACGATTTGCCATTTCAGACAATGAATGAATTCTTTTCACTGCTACTATATCTTGTGATGGAAGCTTCGCCTTGTAAACCCTTCCACATCCACCCTCTCCAATGCAAAATGCTGCATCAAATTCTTTGGTGGCCTCTAATATGTCTTTATACATGACTACTCCATCAAAAGATGATATGAAAAGCAAATCATCTTCTACATCTATTGAATTCCTCTTTCTGCGATCATACATGATCAGGATGCCAACGAGTGCAAATAGAAGTAGAGGTACCCCAAGAAGGGGAATTGCAACTATCAAAATGAGTTTAAGACCGTTCCCTGTCTTGTGGTTTTCAACAGGAGGAGGAACTTTGCATGGTTTCAATCCTACAATATCACCGCACAACCCTTTATTCCCTCGTAGTTTTTCTATGGACACATTCTGAAAGGGCTTGCCATTAGGAATTTGGCCCTCCAACTCATTATAGGATATATCGATGTCCACCGAGCCAGGCAATTTTTGAAAACTCTTAGGAATGAATCCAGAGAGGTGATTGTGAGAGAGGTTTAACATTCCCAAGCTTGACAAAAATCCTATTTCAGATGGTATTTCTCCAGTAAGTGAATTACTGCTCATATCCAATGCAGACAAATGAGTTAACTTACCAATCTGAACAGGGATTGTTTGGCTTAAAAAATTGTAGCTCAAATTCAAGTGAAACAACTGCTCAGAATTTGGAAAATTTTTAGGTATTGGACCTGTCAGTCTGTTTCTCGAAAGGTCTAGGTAATTTAAGCTTGACAATGATCCCAATTCATGAGGTATATCCCCAGAAAGCCGATTGTCCTTCAGATCAATTTTCAGAAGTAAAATTAACTTCCCAATTTCCTTTGGAATCCCCCCGCATAACTGGTTTGAAGAAAGATCGAGTATTTTTATTTGACTTAAATTTCCAAATTCTGGAGGAATGCTCCCTGAAAGGTTGTTCTTCGCTATTTTCAGTGTTTCTAGTTGTTTGCTACTACCCCAATTGTCAGAGAGTTCACCATAGAATTTATTGTCACTTAGATCCATGAACATCAAATTTGGATAGACACCGAATTCTTCCGACAGATTCCCAGAAAACTGGTTGTGATCAAATCGGGCTCTGGTTAAACTGGAGCAATTTTTCAAGCTTTCGGGGATTGGACCCCAAAGTCTATTGTTATCTACAGTAAAATTTTGTATTAACCCACCACCACATAACTCTGGCAAATGACCAGAAAACTGATTTTCATCCATTTCCAGGACGACAAGTTTCTTCAGTTTTCCTAGTTCACTTGGAATGGGACCGGAAAGTTGGTTCTGACGAAGGAACAAATATTCTAAATTGCTCAGGTCACCTAATGAAGCAGGGATGGATCCAGTTAGATTATTTTCGCTCAATTCTAGTTCACCGAGAGATTTCAAATTCCCCAACTCTGGTGGGATAGGACCAGAAAGGTTATTAGCGTAGAGGTGCAGAGTGGTTAGACCCGTAGCTTTGCCTAAAGAGGCTGGGATCAAACCTGTGAGATTATTATAGTTTAAACTCAGGGTTTCAAGTGACTTTAGCTTCCCCAACTCAGGAGGGATCGAACCAGAAAGTTTATTTTTGAAAAGATTCAAAATTTGCAGCTGATTCAAGTTCCCTAGAGTGGGAGCTATGGGCCCCGTCAGCATGTTGGTGTCCATGTCAACCTCTAGAAGATTGGAGAGATTTCCCATTTCAGGGGGTATAAATCCAGAAAGAGAATTATTATAAAGATACAAAAAGGTCAAGTTTCTCAAATTGCCAAAAGAAACAGGAATTGGACCATCAAGTTTGTTACTGTACAATGCAAGCTCACTTAGAGACACTAGTTGTCCTATTTCGGAAGGAATCGAGCCATTAAGTTGATTTTCAACCAAATGAAGAGTTCGAAGACCAGTTATTCGGCCTATTTCTGATGGGATGGTTCCTGTAAGCTGATTTGTGGATATATCAAGATAGATGAGTTTGGAGAGTTTACCTATTTGAGGTGGAATGGTGCCAAAAAGTCGGTTGATGCAGAAATCGATATAAGCAAGATTTGGGAGAGACGAGAATGGAAACTTATAGAGGGTGGCATAAATATTTGCATTTGTGAGGTTCAGCTTGTTGACACTTCCGTCGATGCTGCAAATAACTCCAAACCAATTGCAAGGACTACCTCTTGCTTTTGGATGAGTCCACGAAGTTAGAATGGAATTGTTCTCATTTTTGAAAGTGGCTTTCCATTTCAGTAGAGCATTTGCTTCTGCAAAAGAAGCAGAAGCAGGTTTAAGACAAACAAAGAAGAGAAAAGGCAGGAACAAGAAAAATGTAAAAATGGGGTACTTCAACATGGTTATTAAACTGGGATTTAGTTTGTGCTTGGATTAATTTAGATGCTATGAAACTATAATTTATAGATGCAAAATTGGAAATAAAATCTACGTATGTAATGGGGAAGAATTTCAAAGACTTCGGAGTGTAAAAGACTTCTAAAGTCATCGTGTCGGTCTCTATCCTTTATTTTTTCACAATTGGGCAGCAAATCAAGTCCAATACAAAATACTACGCACCATGGATCAAAGAAAAAGTGCAAAAAACAAAATGGCTACTGCATATTGGTCTATAGTTCTCTCCATTAAGGTCATTAGATGTGACTGCAACCTCAAAAAGTATACCGATCCTAGACCGAATAAGCCCTTCTTTGACTCTAATTTCTTAAAATTCATTTTCAACCATAATTTAATTCACAAGATTCCATCACTTTTTATCAAAATTTGCTAAAATATGATTTTTATCTAAACCAAACAGGGTCTAATCATCGCAAGTCATTTAAATGTGTTAATACATCAATTATTTATTTATTTATTTTAATGTTTGGAGCGGATTGAATTCCCAAGGGTGGTAATTGCTTATATAACCCAAAATTGTGATTAAAAACGGTCGAAAGACTAACGAAGATCACGTACAAAATATATGTGAAATATTCAGGGCGCAGACTTTTAGACAAAGTACAATAGCCAAAATTTTAATTTTGTTTTCTCGATCATCTTCATTATTAAACTTTGTGCTTGAATTAATTTAGATGCTATGAAACTATAATTTATAAATGCAAAATTGGAAATAAAATCTACGTATGTAATGGGGAAGAATTTCAAGTCCACTCCCTATGTCCATTCTTCCAGGAAGCAGAAGGCAACATTCTATTATCAAACACTTTTGGAGTGTTAGAAGACTTCTAAAGTCATCGTCTGTCTTTTAGTGGCAGAGAGAAAAAATGCAATTCAGTTGTTTCGTCTAAAACAATGAAAAGGAAAGTTAGCTACTTCACATTGGTTTATAGTTCTCACCATTTCTTGCAACCTCAAAAGTTAACAGAACCTCGACCAAATAATTATTACCAATTTACTCTATTGCATTCCCCCGTTTAACAATCATTAAATTAAAAGTCTTTTTTTTCTTAAACTCATTTTTAGTCACATATTCTCACAATAAAATATTTTGTACGTAAATTTAAAATTTTTTCTTACTTTTTAATTACATCCTCAAAAAAATCACTATTACAAAACTCATTTTTCTCTTTTTTGTTTTTTTAAAAAAAGTCACTTTTAATGGATGTCAAACAGAGATAGAAATATTTATCGCATGGTATTTTAAACATAATATAGCCAAAATTTAATTTCTTTTTTCTTTTTTCTCTCCTAGCCCCATTTTGGTCCCATTATTCTAAATTATAATAGGTGGAATAATATTTTTTGTAGAATGAGTGGTTGAAAAAAAATGAAAAATTTTTAATTTACGCGTAAGATTATTTTTATGAAAGATTGTGTAGTTAAAAATGAAAAAAAAAAGAGAAATGAAATTTAATTTAATGGAGTCAAACGGGAGCCTAATAACATTAACACATTCCCCTAGATCGATTAACAGTCATAATATAAAAAGCATCCAATAAGCTAAGCCACAATCGGATTGCATAGATAAATCGAGCAGCAAATCTATTTTGACGATTTACTATATAATAATAAAATCACATAGCTCAATTTTTCGATCTCATGATGTTCACTTGCTAGAACTAGACAAACATTTATCTAGTAACTCTACATCGATGCACCATACTTTATCTACTTCCATGCTTGATTTTGAATTTTCCAAGTCAATAAAAATGGACGAAGAAACGAAATTTAGCGTACTCTTCACCATTAAGATCATTAGATCATCTTTAAGAAACTCTTTAAACATAAACTGCGCTCTATTTTAAAGAGTCAACCCTTAAAATCATGTTTCAAGAAACTCTTTAAATTAACATTTGAAGAACTAAACCCACTCTCTATGATTAAATGCATTCAAAGTGTCTCAATTTTCACTGTAAGATAATAATTAAATAATCTAAAGAAAAATTAGTTAAAATAAAATATAGAAAAAAAATAATAAATATTTTTTTGAAGTAATAAAATTATGTGTTAAATATAAATAATTTGTTGAAGTACTTCAAAATTTTAACTCCTTAAATTTATAAATGCTTTCCAAATGATAGAACATCCTCCTTCAAAATAGAAAGTTTATTGAAGATGTTCTTAGATGTGATGCAACCTCAAAAAGTTTACTAAGCCTAAATCGAATAAGCCCACTTGACTCCAATTTCTTAAACTTATTTTCAACCACACTTTTCATTGGACTCACAACATTTCATCACCTTTTTATCAAAATTTACTGAAAATATTTTTTATCTAAACTGAACAAGGTCTAATCATCGCCAGTCGTTTAAATGTGTTAATACGTCAATTTATTTTATTTTAATCTTTCGAGCAGACAGAAATCCAAGGGTGGTAATCGCATATAAAACTCAAAATTGTGACTAAAAATGGTTGAAAGACTTTCAAGGATCACCTACAAAATACATGTTAGGTATTCATGGCGCATACTTTTAGACAAAATACAATAGCCAAAAGTTTAATTTCGTTTTCTTAATCATCTTCATTATTTTCCAGGCCACGCATGAAGCATGTGAATTAATTATTCCAATGATGCCCGTGTTTTCGTTTGCTCACCAAAATTTAAAACATTGAGTTTTGATAACTGAACTTAAATCCATGTCTTCGATTACTCAGCGAAATTTAAAATGTCGAATTTTAAACCTTTAAAAATGCTATACATTACTCACTAATTAACATATATGTTGAACATTGAAAAATATCAAGTTTACAATAAATAATGTATAAAGTTTTTCAAAGTTCAATTGCCAAAAAAACCCGACATTCTAAACTTCAGTGAACAACCGAAGACATGAACTTAAATCCAATGACTAAAATTCAACATTTTAAATTTCAATGACCAATCAAAGATATGAACCTAAGTTCAGTAATCATTGGAACAATCAACTCCGGAACATGCTATATAAGAGTTTTTACAGTATATTACTATTCGAGAAAATTAGAAAGAAAGCCGTTCAGACTTGCAACAAAATACAGACACATCCCTTCAAGTTTAAAAAATCACAACATTCTCTCCTAATAACATATTCTCCTTTATTAGTTCGCGTTCTTAATATAAAAAGCATCCAATAAGCTTAAACCGTAGCAAGGTTGCACGGATAAATCGAGCATCCTTGAGAATCAAGCAGCAAATCTGTTTTAACAGTCACCCACTCCCACAGACATCACATATCTATACTGAAAAAAAAAAAAAAAAAAAAAAAAAAAAAAAAAAAAAAAAAAAAAAAAAAAAAAACCAAAATATTCTTATAAAAAGAAAGCTATAGTACATTCTGTGAAAGAGGCAACAGGAAAGCAAGGATCAGTTGTGGGAAACAGAATGGTGGATGACTGAATCATACTGCAATTTCATCCCTACAAGAGGCAATCGAACAGGAAATGAACAAAGCACTTCCACAGCACCCAGCTACAAAACAGCCACCAAACCATTCATCAACTCAGCAGCATCAGTTTCTATAGCTACGAGCAAGAGGTGTATCAAAAATACCGGCTATCAATTCCCAGCTACAGTCACGACCTCGTGCTGTAACATAGTGCAAATATCAGCTTATTGATATGCATCCTATTGCAAAGGCAAGATCACTACCGTTGTGTGTTAAAAATACACCCTAAAAGTGACATTAAATGAAGAGCTGAATAGACCACCAATTGCTGCAAGAAAATTAATATCTCAGCACCATGGTCATCTTAACAGCAACATTGCACATGTGGCTTGAAAATATAACCAGCATATGGAATCTCTCTAATCAACAGCACATCCGCACGTTACATGGACTCCAGCAACCTTCTAAATGATTGGTTCTAAACTCACATTTTAACTTCAAAATTTTCAGTGGAGTAAATATATCGCTGTCAGGTCAAAATTAGAATTCCAATGTGATTTAAGACTACATTTAAGTTTGTTATCCTTACCAATTATGACCTGGTCAGAAAGTTTTTATAGGAACTGCAATCTGTCATCAGCAAGAAATTATAGCAATCAACAGCAAAGTAAAAGCAGCATCAACAGCCACTGCATCATCATAAAACAGCACAGCATCAATAGCTGCTGCATCATCTTGTCAATCAGCAACAACTACTCCTCATGGTCACAGCTATAGAAGGCCAATAAAGGTTTCATATAAGTAAATTATTCAATAATCTAAATTCAGTTTATGTAACAGGAAAGCCAAATCATAGAGCAAATCAAATTAATTGATGAAAACTAATAAGGATGCTAAAATTCAAAGCATTACAGAAACTGCAGAGTTATAAAGCAAGAGTTAAGACATTTTTTATGATGTCAAACTGCATAAACTAGATGCAGATACCATCATAACAAACCATAACAGATCCAATACAAAGAAGAGTTCAACCTTAGGAATAAGTTTGAGGAAATCACTTCTAGCAACCACTAAATAGATGATAGATGATACGATATATCTGAATATTCTGAAAGACAAAAGCAGCCACACAGAGCTGCTAGCCAATCCATCAAACTTCACTCCAGTCTCTTACTCCTGAAAAATAATATAAAATATAACAATTTAATGAACACTTTTAAATACAGAAAAAATAATTGAGAGAGGGTTTCAGAACTCACATCAGCATCAGAACGAGGAGTAGGGCTACGAGAATCAGTACCACGATGAGCAGAAGAGACACTTTTTGGGGTGGGAGACCGCTCTATGTAATTGCAAGCATCTGGACTTCCACCCCTTGAAGTTGTTTTACGCGGAGAAGGGCTCCTCTGGGGACTAAGACTACGTCGAGCAGGGGAAGCACTATTACATACACCAATTGGCTTCATAAAACAATAATAAAGCACTAAAAATTAATTTAAAAATTGAAGATGACAACAAAGAAGTTAATACCTCCCATAAGACCGACTTCGACTACGCCTCTCATAATCATATTTGCCTCTGCCATGGTCTCTGCGATACCCAGGAGTAAGACTGCGACTTCTGCTTCGGCTCCGATTTCTATGGCGATAATCCCTGTCCCTGTCCCTGCCACGATGCCATTCCTTTTCATATCTACCCCTACTGCTGCTGCGGCTTCTCTTCCTGTAATCCTTCTCCCTGTAATCATCCCGGTACCTGAATTCGTTTCATTTAAATCAGCACATGATGGCTTAAATATCATTTTGCAAGAAGGCCAGAAAGCATCATTTGGAGAAAAACTAAGAATTCAAGTAAAAGAACTGAAAAACAACAAATACAAAACATGACAACTAGATTTTTTCCTTTTTCCAATGATAGCAGATTGCTAACTAAAATTCATTTCCAGATTTGTACAACCCAAATGACATCCAAAAGCTGTAAAACATATTTCAACCTTAAGTCCCCGTTTGGCCCCCAATATTTTTTATTATAATGGGGGAATAGTGTTTTTTTGAAAAATGGATGGTTGTAAAAAATGAAAAGTTTTCGATTTATGTGTAATATTATTTTATTAAAGATTGTGTGCTTGGAAATAGGAGAGAAAATTTTAAATTAATTTGATGAGATTTAATGGGGACCAAACGGGGGCTAAATTGAGAGTATAAAAGGATATTATTTACCTTGGCCGAGGACTGCGGCTTCTTGACCCTTTTGACCCGGAAACTGGTTCTGAAATTCTCCCCTTGTGACTGGTGCAATAAATACACATAAGTATGTTAGAAATGGCTTTGATCTAATAAAAAGCATGAAGCACTAGCTAAATCTGACAAACTTCAAACATCTAATCCACGAAACCAACCTATGATGCACCGTAACAGACAGGCCGATCAGCAATTTTTGAAAAAGGTATTGACACAAAAAGTTGCAGACACGTTAATCAAATAATAAATTTTTTACTTTTCAGATGTAATAGTGTAAAATAAATTTCGTGAGTCAAATATAAATCAAATCAAAGGTTTGTATTCTAATTGGAGAACTATATAGCAATTTAATCAAGTAAAAAGGTTGATCTTTCTTGATAAACAATCAAGTACAAATGCGATTTGACTCTTTTAAAAATTGGATAACATTTTCTTCTCTATTAACAGGCGATATTTTTACTTTAATTTAAAACGCCAAAACTAGTCTTAACTAAAAAAATTAGTGAGTAGATACCATTATCTTCTTAGATGAAAATTAGGATTCATATCGACTCAGGTGACATAATTGGAACCTGCACTATCAACATCAAGCACCATTCGCCCTCCTCCATTCAATTTTATTTCATAAATAGACTATGCCCGGTTTGTTTATCTTTCTATTTTTTCTTTATTTTAAATCGAACAGCCATGTCAAAAGAAATGTTGGATCCTAGAATATCAATATAAATTTCTGACACGCCACCTGGCGTAGACACATGTTGGGTCGTGTCAGAGTTCAATACGCTTGAAAACTGTGAAATTTTGCACATAAAATCATTCTATTCGAATACTAAATGCCAGTTAACAAGAAAAATACCAGCATTTATCATAATAAATCAAAACCTGGTATTGGAAACTGAGAGAAACCAAAGTGACGAAACTGAATCAACTTACATTCGTTCAGCATTGGGCCCATACTTGGCAAACTGAACCATTATTTCTCTCCCATCAACGAGTTTTCCTACACATGACAGCCAAAGCAAAATCAACCCACCACAAAGAGAATCTACACAACTTTAATTATGTTCAAAGCTCCCTGTTTCAATTTTTTAAGCATACCATCTAGCTTTTCGACGGCCTTCCGGGCCTCATCTTGATACTTGTACCGCACAAATGCAAAGCCCCTTGAATCTCCAGTCCTAAGTAACAATTATCACAAAGAAAACCTCAGTTCAAAAGATGGAATCAAAGGCCATGTAAAACAAAATAGTAGGGAGAAACCTCAATTTCCACATTTAAAATATACATCCACATATATATGTATAAATTGAGACCAATGGGAGTGGGGAAAAGGTAGGAGGTATGAAGCTGGAGTAACATAAATCCACACAATTCTAATCATTCATGTGGAAAATTGAAAACGTAAAGCACATTAAAAAAAATATGGTGTTCTAAAAAGCATAAAGCGTGGCCAGGTGTGGAAGCCATTCAAGCTTTACAAGCCTAGGCCGAAAAAAAAAAAAACATATTCTAATTTTCAGTAGTATTTTAAATTTTTAATCATTTAATAATTAAAATAATACATACCAAAAATCTAAAAGTATAAAATAATATATTTACTAGAAATTTTTGCAATTATACAATTTCCAAGTTTTTGAAATGCAAAAGTTAGACTATTTTTTTTAGTTTCAACTTTCAATTAAACAAGTCCTATTAACAGAATTATAGAAAAATTCTATAATTATAGCCTAAAGCGTCGCCAGGTGTGGAAGCCATGTTTCAAGCTTTACAAGCCTAGGCCAAAAAAAAAAACAAAAATCTAATTTTCAGTATTATTTTAAATTTTTAATCATTTAATAATTAAAATATTAAATACCAAAAATCTAAAAGTATAAAATAATATATTTACTTAAAAAATTTTACAATTAGTCAATTATACAATTTCCAAGTTTTTGAAATGCAAAAGTTAGACTATTTTTTATAGTTTCAACTTTCAATTAAACAAGTCCTATTAACAGAATAATAGAAAAAACAAGTCCTATTTAATAGATTTATAGAAAATTTATACATACTTAAGTTTCCAACAAAAGTCACAAAATTATGCAATAATGTAGATATCATAGCTTAAATCTTATCAATCTCTTTATCGGATAAAGTCATTTTTTGACTTTTGTACTGATAAAGTAATTTAAAAACTTAAAACTACGGTCAAATAAAAGAATTTTAAAAAAGTGAAAACAAATTAATGAAATAAAGTCAAATAAAAGGCTTCTAAAAAAGGGGGAAAATATAAAAATAGTAATAATAAAAAGCGTCTAGGCGTGTAGGAATCACACATTATGCAGTCAGCTGAACGCTCAATTCTGTTGATCGATTAATTTTGAGCAAGCCATTTACTGATTAAAAAGGAACAACAGCATAAAATAACACCACAAAATTATAAAAAATAAATAAATCAAAAGCACTGGGATAATAAATCAAATCACGTTTATTACAATTTACTATATTCCCGAACTACAGCAGAACCTTCTACATATAAATTATATGTGCATACGCAAAATCATTCGTGTATGGGTATGTTAATGCATATACCTTCGGTCTCTCGGGATGAAAACATCAACAACTTTTCCATACTTATCGAAGAGCGGAAACAAGTCATCAGCAGTCGTACCTGAAAACAAACCAACAAAAACCAAATTTAAAAAAAATAAAAAATTCAAACATGTCTCCCACGATTAGTAACAAAAATTTACAAAATAGGCGAAATAAGGGTAACGTGGGAAGGGGGGCGGAGGAAGTACTTACGGAAAGTTATGTTGAGTACCAATAGAGAAAAAGTGTCTCTGATATCCGGTGGTCCAGATCTTCCGAAGTGCGACATCGTTTAGCTGTGTTTCTGTGTCTAAGAAGGCGGTATGGAAGAGGATTAGAGCTTGAGGTTTGGAAATTAAGGCAGGGAAGATACATTCTAGAGGCGGTCTGGTGATTGGTCGGTTTTGCCATTCCAGGTGATTGGTCGGTTTTGCCCTTCGGTGGAATTCTATTTCCCATTTCCGGTTTGGAATAACGACTAGAAAGGATTTTTGTATAAAATTTATTGATCCTTGAACATTTTAATCAGTACTATATTGGCTCCTGTACTTTTATTGCCTTAATTATACCCATCCATTTTATTGATATACGTTTTGTAACATATCATCAATGTCCTAGAAAGATAAGTTTCTCATAAAGTCTAGTATGAATTTGTTAATAGTTGTATAGTAGTGATGATTCTTTGAGCCCACTTTTTGGGATAAAGATTTTTTAATAGTCAAATTTTTAAGAATGTATGGTCAAAAAGTATTGAAAAATTTTAAGTTTACATGTAAAATTATTTTATTGAAATAAAATATGAGTGAAAATGAGTTTGGAGAAAAATGGACTAATAGAGAGTAGGGTTCGAACATAAGCTTGTGTATGGACTTGATTGTATCAAACGTAGGCTTTTAAATTAATTAAATTGGTTTTAAGCAAACATCGGTAATAAGATTTGAGGAATCAAGCAAGACTTGACCATTCTACAGTCAAGTTAATAAATTAAGATGAAATATTATCATAATAGTTCCCTTGAACATGATTTTGAATCTCTCCATTTAAAGATTGAATAAATAGCAAACTCAAAACTGAAGGTTGTGGATAATTTATTTTTTTTGGGTAAAAATGGTATACTTTAATACATTTCGATTGATTAGTCATAATTAATGTGCATAGCATATTTTATTTAATTTTTTATAATTCATATAAAATGCACTTTTTGATGTTGGATGGATAATACGCGTAACACAAAAATGTATCTTATATGGATTAGAAAGGAATTTTGCGTAAAATATTTTATTTATTCTTGAACTTTTTTTTAGTACTATTTGGTCCCTATACTTTTATTGCTCAATGTGGCAGTTCACAGAGAGAGAAAGGAAAATTAAGAAGGTGGCTGATATGGCTATTGGAGTTTCGGTACTGAGTAATGAAAAATGGGCAGAACTTCAATAGCAAAATAACAGCATCAGTGATAATCACTTGCTTAGTTGCTGCATCTGGCAACCTCATTTTCGGCTATGCTATTGGAATTTCAGGTGCATTTTTGCTTGCTTTTGTTTTCAATTTTTGTTTCTTGTTTTCCAGTGGATGTAAGAACTCTGCTATCACTGCCTTTGCTTGTTTTAATCCATTTATATAAGTTTGAGTTTGAACCTTGGAATTGTGCTGGACTGAAAGAAAATGAGTGCAAAGAGACATTGAGAATTATAAGGGTGATCTATTTCTCTTTAATCAATCTTCCCAAAAACTTAAGGATGACTAATAAAAAAATGTCCATGAATTAGTGTGTTCACAACGTCACATTCTTGATTCCATTATTATGCCATGACTCGAGAAAAAGGTTTCTATACTTTATGAAATTATGATAGATATCCAATCAAATGGCAGCCAAGTCATCCACTATTCTAGAATGTTCCATAGTTGGTTAGCAAAAGGGTAATAGAAAGCTAGTGGATTATCTATAAATGAAAGAAGGGAAAATTGGGATGGCAATTCAGAGAATTTGTTTAGAAAAAAGTGAGGAGAGATCAGATCTCTCGAATAGCTTGAGCTTTGTCATTTTCATCTGCCATTTTATTAAATAACAATACATATTTCAGTTTATATTCTTCCATTTTATTCAAGCAATTCCTGATACACAGTAGCTAAGAAGTGTTTCATTCAACAACCATAGCCAAGTTCCTATCAAAATGGTATCAGAGCGGTTGAGATTTGGGAATATGCTCTTATAGATCGGGTGACAGCCTTGGAGATGAGAATTGATGGAATTCAAATGGAAGTACAAGAACTTGGGCACACTGAGAAATTGGATTTCATGATAAAAAAAAAATGGAGGGACGGAAACTGAAAAAAGAGAAGGTATTGGCCGCTACTTCACCTAAAACCACTCACACCTCTGAAATTCCACTCAAATCTAATGAAATTGGGACAAGCACAGACAACCGAAATAGAAGCAAAGAAACCATTGTCAAATGAAGTCGAATGTTAATTGAAAACTTATCAGTTCCATTGCCGGTGATATCAGATGCAATGCTGGAGGAGAACTTAGTCAATGAGGAAAAATCGTTGGTTGTGACTGAAGGAAAAATGCGTGATACTAAAAGGTTAGGCTAAAAGGTGGAATGGGCTCAAAGAGTTGAGGACTGCATTAAAGCTCCACAACGAGCCCAATTTAATTCATGCCCAAATAGAACAAGAGGTAACATTCCAAGCCCAAATATAAATTTCAACTCTCACGCTTCCCCTTATCAGACGACTTTCGTTCCCAGTCCAACACCCATTGTTGTCCCAAATCCTGTGGCGGTTACCATACGCCCACCCACGCCAATGGAAAAAGGTCCTCCAATTGAAGGATTCAACGAAACTTAGGTGTCCATGAAATCTATGGTGGAGGCATTCTGAAAAAGAGGACAGGGGGTGATACTGGAATCAGGAAGATGGGGAGCAGAAATTGAAGAAATCGAGACTGAGGTTCCCAGCTTCCTTGCGCATGTATTGCAACAGAATCATCCAGTTTTCAAATGGCCCAATGAGTTGGCTGGGCTACACCCGAACCCACCCCTAGTTTTTGAAATTCCATTCAAACTGACGAGGCAAGCATGCATACGGAAGGAAAGAAGGGCAGAGTGGGGACTTTAAGCAGGGACAATCATGACCAGAAGCTGTTGGAAACCATGGTCAATCCGTTGGAGACATTGCTAGAAGGGTTAATTGAGCATAATTTTGTTGAAGGGTTGAAATAGGGCTGGGCAAATCTCCCAAACCGAACCCGACGGTTCTTGTCAAATTAAATATCCGAACGGGTATTTGAATTAAGAATCGACGGGTACAATTCGATTCTCGGTTCTAGACCAAGAACCGAAAAACTGAATCTTTCTAAATTTTTTTTATATTGAGTAAATCAAATTATTTTAATTTTATTTTTTTCTAAACAAATTAACAAATTTTAAATCCAAATTTTCAGCCCAATAATTAGTTTCATTTCTAATTTTTTAATTTTTGGCCCAATTACCCATTTTATTATTTCATTTCTTAATCCAACAAAATCTAATCCACTAAATAACCCTAAACACCTACACTAAAGTCCATAACGTTGTCTTGACTCTCGTACTCACCCTCCTATCCTCGTTAATATTTCAAAACCTATGCAATCGTCGGTCAATATTGTGACCTCCGATCGAAGCTGTGACCTCCGCCGATCGAAACTTTGACTGTAGCGATCATTTGAACAAGGTAGTTTACCAGTCTCTAACATTCCAAAACCATTAAAATGTATCATTAGTTGTATTTATAAAATGTTGTTATAAATGTTAAAAATTTAATTATAGTACAGAATCGAACCGAACCGAACCCGAACGGTTCCGTAATTATATTTGGACCCGACGGTTCCATTTACTAGATACCCGAAAATTTTGATTCAATTTAAAATCGAACCGACCCGTGCCCACCCTTAGGTTGAAAGCCAAGTTATGGGCTAAAGATGGAAGGTTAAAGCCTCACGGTTTGGGCCAAATTGTGAAAATGAACTAAAAGATGGTAGACAAAAATAAGTTTATGGAGAAGACCAACTCAATTTACAACCATATAAGATTAAAACAAATACCCGCAGCCCAAATCCAAACGCCCAATTCAGTCTGATCCATGCACCAAATCCAGCTATGATCTTTCCAAAATCCATAACAGTTGCAGTGCTTTTACTGACGATGGTGACCATAAGAGAGAGGAAAAGGTGGAGCATCCAAGGATGATGAAACTCAAGGGCAAATTGATCAACGTCCTATGATCATGATAATTGACGGTGCAGTTAGCTACAATTTTACCTTGGGCCATCGGGTTCAAAAACTGGAATCCCATAAAGGAGTGCGACTGGTTATGGGATTTGTATGGATAACATCATAAGTGTAGGTGGTCGGCGTTAGAACTTTTTAACTGCGTTGGGACTGAAATATCACATTTCATCATTTGCCTTGGTGGGGATTCTGACCAAAGAAATGATTCAGTTATATGAAATTTCGAATTTTAAATTTGGAACACACCTCTACCTTGAGGACTAGGTGGATTTCAAGGCGGCGGTAATGATAAATATTCAATCAAATGGCAGCTAAGTCATCCACTATTCTAGAGTGGTCCATAGTTAGTTATCAAAAGTGTGAGAGGGTAATAGAAAGCTAGTGGATTGTCTCTAAGAGTGCGTTTGATTGCCTATATTTTTCATGAAAAATGTGTTTTTTCCACCCAAATTTCTACTTTTGTGCTATTTGATTGCCTTTTTTCTCCATGAATAATATTTTCCCACTTTTGATCACGTGACCATATTTTCCTCAAAAATCAAGGAGAATATTTTCTTTAGGAAGAGTATGATTTTATTTTCCACAAAATTCACTTTCTCTTTCTCTCTCTCATTTATCCACTCTCTCTCATTAACCCACCAATAAAAAATGGAATAGTAGAATATTTTCTAGGTTGAAAATTACATCAATCAAACACATTTAATTAACAATTTCTATACAAATAAATTCTAGGCAATTGAATTGCCTAAAATTTATTTTCTTTCCATACAAATTTCATGCTTACAATCAAACGCACCCTAAGTGAAAGAAGGGGAAATTGGAATGGGTATTAAGAGAATTTGTTTCGAAAAAAGTAAGGAGAGATCAGGCCTCTCAAATAGCCTCAGCTTTGTCATTTTCATCTACCATATCTCAGTTTATATTCTTCCATTTTATACAACAATTCCTGATATACAACAGATAAGAAGTGTTTCATTCAGCAACCATAGCCAAGTTCCTATCAAATTCCAAGAACCTTTCTCGGCCCTAAACTACTATCCTGTTGTTTTCTTCTTTGAGGTTAAGCTGTAAGATCCCTCTTATGACTGAAAC